GGATCCTCGCCGTGGTATTGTGTGTGTGCGTGTGTGTGTGTGTGTGTGTGTGTGTGTGTGTGTGTGTGTGTCACGTCACTGCATCCTCTGCCGGTTCCTCCCGTCGCCTCTTCTTTGTTCGAATGTATTTCAATCCATCCTTCACGAAGCCCTCCCATGTAGCTAGCGTTCTTTGCGAATGTCTCGAAATGGCCAGCAGGCGCTGTCTGCTCGCGGTCTGTGCGGGCCGCTCGTCCTCCTCGCCCTTCTTTCGTCCTCCCATCCCTCCCCTCCACTATGGCCTTCTCGGCACTTCTTTCTCCATCCGCCTCGCCCTGCCTTTTCGTATCGTGCCGTTCGCCCTCCATTTGGTAACCTCCATGGCTGTCCGCCTCCTTTTGGGTGGCGCTCTCGATACGGTTGCGTCAACCTCGACGTCGCTGTCGCCACCCCCTCCCCCTCTCCCCCTCCCCCTCTCCCTCTCCCTCTCCCTCTCCCTCTCCCTCTCCCTCTCCCTCTCCCTCTCCCTCTCCCTCTCCCTCTCCCGCTCCCTCTCCCTCTCCCTACAGGACAGGCTGGCATGCCTAGTCCAGGACGTGTCCGAGACATGTCCCATCTAGGCGCCCTACAAGAAAGCCGCCGTGAGGGCGGGCCGGAGTTGTGCGCGGGTCCGGAATACGCCGCGGATGCGCCCGAGTGGCGCGGGAGGGGAGCCGCGCCCCCCCCCGAGTGTTTCGTCTTTGTGTGGTCGCTGGAGTGATCTGAGGTTGTACGGACTTTGAAAGACCGATGGGAGCGGCGTGTGGATTTGAGGTTGTACGGACACACTGGCATGACGCGTGATTGTGATGAACTCCCCTCCCTCCACCCGCGACCCGGCAGCACACCCTGCACGCTCCCATCGGATGGGTTCCACCCCGCTGATCAGACAGGGCGCGGGGCGAGCCACATCATCACCGGCTCGCGGCAATAAGGACACTCTCGCATCAGCTCGGAGCATGGACCGCAAACGCACAAGTGGCTGCACGGCACCGCGAGGTGAGACTTCGGCCGCTCGAAGCATATGATGCACGACGTCTCTCCCCCCATCTGATCGATGTTTTTCCGTTCAATACGTCTTTTTACGAAGGGTATAAACCAAAGCGACTCAGCGCTGAGGCGTCCTAGAAGCGGGCGCCATCTGCAAGAGAAAATTTTGTTTCATCTGGTTCCAAATGCGTCGAGTTTTCAATTACATTTTGCGATCTGTGATCTGTAAAGAGTAAACATACTACCGGTACTACTGTTAACGAGATACTGAGGTCGGCCTTGGACCACTTTTTTCGATATTGGTGTATCTTTTCAGCACACCAGCTGACACCAGCAGCGCTTCGAGGACTGAGCAGTGACCGGAGTGACAACAGTGAGAGACTCAAAGCTCAGTGCGCACGCGCGGCCACCTCCACCCACTTGGGCTCCGCGCCGCGCTCGACGACGAGCGCGTGCTCTGCGAGGTTTACAGTCGGACAGACGTGGCGCGGGATGAGGAGCAGCGGCGTGCCGCGCGGCGGTGGCGGCTCGCTGCTCGCCATTGGCAGGTGCTCCTCGCTGGGACCCAGCGCCTCGAGCTGCGGCACCTCCAACACGCGCGCGACTGGGCTGCCGGCCTCGCAAGCGAGTGCCTTGGAGCCCGCGTCGAGCGTGACGACGCACGGCTGCCCCGGCGCGCTCCACGGGCGAGGGTGCGATACCACGCGCGATAGCACGAGCGCCGCGGGCAGGAGGCCCAGCGCCTCGCCGCCCTCCATCTCCTCCGACATGCTGTCGTGGAAGACGACCGTGCCCGGTGAGATGCGATGCGTCGGCGCCTCGTTGACTTTCTCGCCGTAGTAGCGCAGCGCCTCGAGGCAGGTGGGGGTGCCCGACGTGATCACCTCTTCCACGGCGATCCCGCGAGACCTCAGCGTGCCCACCAGCACGTCAAGGGAACCATAGACCTTGTCGGCCTCCGAGCGGCGCTTCTCGGCAGACTCGTCTGAGAGGTGGCCTTCATAGTAGTGCAGCCCACGGAAGCGAGCTCCAGCAGCCGTCGCGATGGCGGCAATGTCGTCGGTCGCCTCGAAGGGTACACCGGTGCGATCATAGCCGGGGTTGATGTCGATGAAGATGTCAAGAGAGCCGGGCAGGCGCGGCGCGGCAGCGGCGTCCTCGCAGAGCACCCCGAGCCGCACCTCCGGAAACTCATCGGCGAGGTCAGCGAGCTGCTTCAGGCTGGGGCCGATGAGCGGGTACGCCAGCAGCACGTCGCCGTCCGTTATGGCGCGCCCTCGCAGGACACCGCACATGAGGCGCGCCTCCCTCACAGTGGCGCACTTGAAGTGGCGAACCCCGGAGGCGACACACGCTTCGTAGACGGGCGCCATCTTGGTGGTCTTGAGGTGCGGGCGCCAGCGTGCGGCGTCACCACCGCAGTGTGCGAGCATCGTGGCGAGGTTGTGCTTCACCTGGTCCATAAACACCACGAGCTGAGGCGAGGGTATCTCGGCGCGGAGCGAGGCGGGTAGCAGCTCCTCGTACGTGCCGCGATCCAGCGCCCCGAAGGGCTCGGCTGACTGCATCGCCACCCGTACCCCCAAGGCATGTGGCGAGTACAGACACGCCTGCTATTCACAGCACAACGTCTCACTTGGCGGCTTCGGGCAGTGAAAAGCATCCCTTTTCCGGACGGACCCCCTGGTGTGAAAACGTGAGGCGTGGTCAACAACTCAGCGCTGAGGCGGCACCCGGAGCAGCACACGCTCACCTAGAATCCCTTTCTGGCCCTCTGCGCTCGCAGCGACTCGTTGCGCCGAGGCGGCTCGCTGCCCTGCGGGCCGCGATTGAGCAAGCGCCGCCGAGTGCCAAAAATCGTGCCGCGGCAGCTGGGGCAATCCGTGGCGATGTCGCATTGCCCTTGGCGCGTGACGTAGTCCGCCTGCCGCGGCTTGGTCTGAGCGAGGAGGCACGTGTAGTGGAAGATGTTGCGGCAGCACACGCTGTAGCCCCAGCCGTCGTCCGCCGTGTGGTCGCAAAAGAGAGCCCTCGTCAGCAAGCGCTCGTCGTCGACGTCGCTGCCCTCCAAGCAGATCGAGCAGCGCGCGCCCGCCTCTAGCCACGGCGCGAGCTGCGGCGGCGGTGGCGGCGGTGGCACTGGCGGCAGGTGCGCCGGCTGCGGCGAACCTGGCTCGGCCGTGCCACCAGCCACCTCCGCCTCCTCCGCCGTCGCTGCCACCTCCGCATCCTCCTCCCGCTGAAGCAGCCGCCGCCGCTTCGCCGCCCGCTGCTCGCGCTCATTCTCCCAGCTCGGCCACCTCTGCATCCGTCGAGCATGCCTCCACGGGCCGCTTGCGCTGCAAGCTGCGCTGGAGCTGCGAGCCAGCCGATGGCGCCGCCGGTGCAGCGGAAGCCGCGGCCGGCCCAGCCGCCGCCTCCGACTCCGCCTCCGACTCCTCCTCCTCCCTCTCCGACTCCTCCTCTCCCTCCGTCTCCGACTCCGCTTGAGCGCCGCGCTGCTTGCGCTGCTGGCGCTGCCACCGTTCGAAGGCTGTGCGCTGCGGGCCTGGTGGCGGGAGGCCACCGAGCCTCTGCCGGGTGGCTGCCATCGAGCGGGCGTAGAAGAGCGCCGCCTCCTCGGCGGTGGCGAACATGCCGAGGAAGGCCTTCCTGCCGCCAACCATCACCTGCAGCTGGTACAAGTCCGCGCACTTAATGATTTTCGACCGACCGCAGGGAAACGCAGGGGCGCCCCCCCCCGACCGAGCTGCGAAACAACGGCGTCCACACCGGCCGCCGCTCGAGAAGCCCCAAAATTTTCTTCGGCGCTGCGCGCCGTTGCAGTCGTAGCTGTAGTCGAGTGTAGGTACACGTATGTTGCAGCCCAGCTATCGTGCCGCAAAAAGGTCCATGTGGCTAGAAAAAATGCTGCCGGTCGCCTCGAAAGCGCCCGCCGGTGTGTGTCCAAAGATGTAGCGCTACAAGTTTTGGGGGACGCATCCGACACACGGGCAGGTTTTCGCGCTTCTATGCTGGCCAACGGTGATGATTACTCGCAGGCTGCGATCAGTCAGTCGAGACGGACAAAGAACTCGTAGGACGTAGCCCGTCGGTGTGTGTGTGACGACGTCGATCGAGCGGGGCGTGCGACCGTGCATTCGCGCGGTCTCTCGCCCTGTCGTGTGCGGGCCGATCTCGTCGTCGACTCTCGACTCTCGTGTGTGTGTGTCTGGTGTGTGTCTGGTGTGTGTCTGGTGTGTGTCTGGTGTGACGGCTTTATGTGCGTGTGTGTCTCAGGTGTCGGGTGTGCCATGACGCATGAGCATGTAAAGTTATGGGCGGGGACCCGCGGCATACCCATTGTAGAGCCGAGAGGTGTCTCCTTTCCATTTATTTTAAACCAAAACACACACAACTGTTCGACACAACTGTGACACCACAGACACAAGCTCACACACGTGGTCTCAGCGGGACGATCTTTCC